ACGAACTGCCTTCAGGACTCCAGCTCCGGATTTTGCCTCTAGGTTAACTCCTGAAGCCTTTTCCATGAGTGGATATAGCCACAAGGCAGCGGAGGTTTGAAATCGGAGTTTTCCTTCTCCTAGATGGGCTGCCTTCCATGGCTGATGAGCCCCACCTACCCGGCCTGCTCTTTAATAGTGCTGGAGCATGATCGAACCCCTAGAACTTTCCTGCCTCCCAGGTGTATGCAAATCTAATTGGCTTTCCTATTTACCATATTAGGGCCAGAGATAGAATCAGAGAATTTGAGAATTTCTGGTCCTGAGACACGCTCATTTAAACCAGAAATCCCCACCCCCTAGGCCCCACCCCCCGGGCCATGCGGTGGGGAGGGAGACAAGAAGAAAGCCCAGAAAAAAACTCCACAGCAAAATGTCCATCCAGACATACCTAACCTTCTGGCTCACCCAGCTTCCTAGGGAAAAGGGCCCAGGGTCCTGGGACATGCTCATTTAAAACAGAAAGCCCCACCCCCTAGGCCCCACCTCCAGGCCATGTGAAAAGAAAAACCAGGAAAAAAACTCAGCAAAAAGTCCATTCAAACATACCTGGCCACAAGACAACACAACACAGAAACAGACCTCCCAGTCCAAATCCACCTTCCAAAACCCACCCAGTACAGTGTTTTTAAAAGGAAAAAGCAGCACCTTACCAGTCCGAAGCCTCCTCAGCCTCACGGGCTTCCACTGCTGCTGTGGATGAGCGGCCAAGCTGCTGTGGATGGGGGCAAGTGGCCAAACGCCCAGCCAGCTTGAGCCTCCCAGCACTGGGTGACCGCTGCCTCTGATTACGGTGGCGGGAGACCCCCGGGAGGTCTCCCAGGGCTTCCCCTCTGAGAATGTGAAACATATATAGAGTTATAACAATATAATGTAGGGAAACAATATTTGCCATTACAAACTTAATTAGACATCTAGTCTTTACTTTCAAATACCCTGATACAAGATACCAGGGTAGTGGACGAATATGGATGCAATCATAAGAGACAAGCAATAAAAATCCAAATCACATCATCAAAGCAAAGTAGCAGCCACAATGATAAAACAGATCAAATTGACTTACTTTGGCATAGTAAGTCATAACTAGAGTAGGGCCATTTGAATCAATTGAGTTACCTCACAATCCCCACGTATTCAATGGGCCTACTCTAGTGTAGGCAGTGGAAGACAGGAGGGCCTGGCATGCTCTGGTCCAATGGATCACGAAGAGTTGGACACGACTTAATGACTAAACAACAACTCTAGTGTGACTTACTATACTAAGTAACAGGATTTCAGCTTATGGAAAATAACTAAGAGTGGGGGAAGGAACTTTTTTTGGTTAAGCTAGAGAAACCAATGGACATTTTCAAAAGTAGGTGGAAATTTTTGATTAATTTCTGGGGGAATCTAACTCGTACTTATGGTTTTCATTAGTTGAGAATTGGAAAAAAGACTCTTGAATATTATTGTAATTATTCCTGGCCACTCTCCCTGTTTTAAAATTTTAGATACTCTCTTTGTAGTTCTTTATTGTGTGTGTGTGTGTGTGTGTGTGTGTGTGTGTGAAGTCTGCTTGCATGTATGCTTCAGGATTTTGTGGGTTTTTTTGTTGTCGTTCTTTTATGATTTAAGCCAATGTACCCTCTAATTTTCAGCCCTGCTGGGTGGGGCTCTGCCTTTTTCATGCGTGGCTTTGCCTCTGTGTGCACACGTGATTCTCTCCCTGTGTGCTGGGTTCCATCGCAACTGGAACCTAAAACAATTGCTGTGCGAAAGAGGAAGACAGCTGCACTGAGGAAAGCAGAGTCATGTGCACGCACACCCAGCTTAGTGGGAACCTTGATTTAAGCACCATTTTAAAAAACATTTTTTAAAAAATATGATTGTGACAGGTAATAAAAATTATTTTGCTCTGAATCTTTCTGCTTCACTTTGAGTATTATATGAGGAACATTTTCCATTAAAAATAAAATAAAATAAAAACCCACCTGCTTTTTAGCAATTCCTTTTGCAAACAATGATTCACTCTGGTGACAACTACTAGCTCATTCTAGAACATTTGTTCCTGTCTTAAAACTTGATTTCTGTTTTGCTCTATCAGGTCAGTGTGAACCAATTACACTGGAGCTGTGTATGAATTTACCTTATAATTATACTACTTACCCCAATTACTTGGGTCATCAGACACAGAAGGAGGCCTCCATCAGCTGGGAATCTTCTCTATTCCCAGCCTTGGTTCAGACTAATTGTTACAAATACCTTATGTTTTTTGCCTGCACCATCCTGGTGCCAAAATGTGATCTTCAAACAAATCAACGTATCCCTCCATGCAGGTAAATAGAAAAAAAAGGTAACTTTAAAAAATTTCAGTGTGGTTACTGTAATAATTCATTAATAATGAATAGATAAGAATCTGCAAATTTTTCACCTAATTAAAACTTGAATTTTTCCTGTGTCCATTGTACACATAGAGCTAGGTTGGTGTAGATAAAAGGCCAAGGCTGCCCTATTGTTTGCTGTCCTTCCACAGGCAAGCAAACACCTTTCTCTTCAAGCAGGCTTTTCCTCAAGAACTGGCTGCCTAAGAGAGGAACTACAGTGCACTTCTCCCCTGTCCCAAGTTGCATATTGTTTGTTTTGATTTTTTGAGCAACTTTAGGTCCTCTTGAGGTGAAAGGTGGGGCAAAATTTTTGAATGAATGAATGAATGAGCAATTGATTATCCCCTGTACTCTTCATCAGGTGACTATGGACCTGTCCACACTGGCATACAGATATGATATATGAATAGCTGAGGGCACGGTTTGTATTGAGGGGGGGGGAAAGACCTCATCTGCAAGTGTTTTTACTTACAATTATCCATCCTTTGCCTTAAATAGCTATTGCACACCTTTCTTGTCCCTCAGTAGGGCATGCATTCATTTTGGCACACTAGGTTTAGCAAGTAGATAGCAGCCTCCAGCAGCTGTAGATTCTGAGGGAGAGTTTGAGAGAGAAAGAGGGGTGATAATGAAGGAAGGGAAAGGGAGGGAGGGAGAAAACAGGATGGCACTGAGAGTGAGGAGCAATGTAAAAAAAAGACCCTTATCTTGACACACACATCCCAAGTTCAGAGGAAGCAATTAATTGAAAGCTGATTAGGCACAAGGGGTTGTTTATTGTTCAGATGGAATGAAAATGCCAAACAACACATTGTTCCTCCTCTGATGCTTTGTAGCCCTATCCATCCCATATCCAAAAGATCTAGTCTGGCCAGTATTCCTAGAAGAAATGCTATGGCTGCCTTAGGAGAACTATGCATAAAGGTAAAGGTAAAGGTTCCCCTTGACAATTTTTGTCCAGTCGTGTTCGACTCTAGGGGGCGGTGCTCATCCCCGTTTCCAAGCCATAGAGCCAGCGTTTGTCTGACTTAGACACGGAACGCTGTTACCTTCCCACCAAGGTGGTCCCTATTTATCTACTGGCATTTGCATGCTTTCGAATCGCTAGGTTGGCGGGAGCTGGGACAAGCGATGGGCGCTCACTCCGTCGCGTGGATTCGATCTTACGACTGTTTGATCTTCTGACCCTGCAGCACAGGCTTCTGCGGTTTAGCCCGCAGCACCACCACGTCCCTAGAACTATGCATATCAAAGTATAATAATGAAAACAATCCACAGTATAGTAGCAATCAGGACATTCTGTGATTTCACCACAAAGGCTAATGTAGTTGATAGCACTAAATGAATAAAAGTATACTACTAAGGACTAGGATTACAGACAGGACAGGTGTTTTTTGTTTTTTTTTAAATGTCAGTTTTAGATTAGACTTTTAGCAGTTGTCCAGATTATTTTTTTATGATCATTTTGTACCATGGGAGCGCCGATTTCTCACCACATAGCCCTTTCTTGTGGGAAGGCAGACATCCGGAAAAAAATCATTTATTTATACACAGACATATATAGGTACAGCTATTTGTATTTCACCTTTTTGGCTGTCTAAGGAGATGCCAAGATAAATTATTACAAAAATATAATATAATAAAATAATTAAAAACAGAGCCCTGGAGTAAATAATAGAAGGTACTTTTAAGGCCTGCTGAAACAAAAATGTTTTAACTGATCACTGAAAAGTGATCAGCAAATGAGCCCTTGGTCTTTCATTAGTAGAGAGTTCCAGAATCCATCCTCTGCAACTGAAGTCTAGGCAATCATATATTTGGAGATCTGCCATCTAGAGCAAAACCTCTGACGTGGTGGGTTTATGCAAGAGGCAGCAGTCCTTTGGATAATCTGAGTCCAAATGATTTAGGTAGTACTCAAAGGCAGAAGCAAACTAGAAACCAGTGCAGATTAAAGAAAACTAGAGTAATGCAATCAAAAAAGTGAAACAACAACTCCAGAAACTGAATTTTGCACTAGCTGTAGTTTTGGAACACTTTTTAGGTCTAACCCAACAAAGTGCTTTGCAGTGCTTGACAACCAGTATTGCAAGAAGTAGCAAGCAGCAGCAGCAGCAACAAAACATGACTAACCTCCTTCTTGCCACCATTTTTCCAAGGAATCCCATTTCTATCTGTTATTTCCTTCTCCCTAACCTAATTCAAGAAAGTTGGCAATAGTAGTTACTTTAGTGGTAGTTGTCAACATAGAATAAGATTTTGTAATGATAAAGATAATAATTACGTCCTATCGCTTCAATTCTCACTTAATAATGATTCTTCTGAGTAGCACCACATAATTTCATATGTGTTTCCTCCAAACCAAAAAACACAAACCTTTGGGCAGCATCTCAGTTATTACCACAATTAAATTAGGTATCTGCTAGTAAAGCATTTTGCATTCTATTTTCCAACTTCTGTGATGTTCAAGGTCAAAGAAAAAGGACAAAGTATTGAAATAGTAAATATTACCAGTGGCACCAGCGAGAGAATTTCTAAGTGTTGTAAATAACCACATGAAGACTTGAAAAAAACTAAATTCAGGCTAGGGGTCCTCTAAATCACCCCAGATCTAAATCCTGAGTGTTTTTGTGGAATATTTGAACATTATTGTTGCTTTCAGAATAATGAATGATATAGTTTTTGAAGCAGTGTTTTAGAATAATGTTAAGACTGCCAGTTTGCGTTAGTGGATTCATGTGGATTCATGGATTGCTGCCTTCTCGTGGCGAAGGGGCTTGAGTAACTCAGAAAAGCTATGGGCTATGCCGTGCAGGGACACCCAAGACTAACAGGACATAGTGGAGAGTTCCAACTAAACGCAATCCACCTGGAGTAGGAACTGGCAATGCCACTCCAGTATCTTAGCTTTGCCAAGAAAGCTCCATGATCAGAAACAAAAGGCTAAAAGATATGACGCTGGAAGATGGGACCCTCAGGTCGGAAGGCGTCCAACATGCTACTGAGGAAGAGCGGAGGACAAGTACAAGTAGCTCCAGAGCTAATGAAGTGGTTGGGCCAAAGCCGAAAGGACACTCAGCTGTGGACGCGCTGGAAGTGAAAGGAAAATCCGATGCTGCAAAGAAAAATACTGCATAGGAACCTGGAATGTAAGATCTATGAACCTTGGGAAGCTGGAGGTGGTCAAACAGGAGATGGCAAGAATAAACATCGACATCCTGGGCATCAGTGAACTAAAGTGGACAGGAATGGGCGAATTCAGCTCAGATGATTATCATATCTACTATTGTGGGCAAGAATCCCGTAGAAGGAATGGAGTGGCCCTCATAGTCAACAAAAGAGTGGGAAAAGCTGTAATGGGATACAATCTCAAAAATGATAGAATGATGTCAATACGAATCCAAGGCAGACCATTCAACATCACAATAATCCAAGTTTATGCACCAACCAGCATTGCTGAGGAGACTGAAATTGAACAATTCTATGAAGATTTACAACACCTTCTAGAACTGACACCAAAGAAAGATGTTCTTCTCATTCTAGGGGACTGGAATGCTAAAGTAGGGAGCCAAGAGATAAAAGGAACAACAGGGAAGTTTGGCCTTGGAGTTCAGAACGAAGCAGGACAAAGGCTAATAGAGTTTTGTCAAGAGAATAAGCTGGTCATCACAAACACTCTTTTCCAACAACACAAGAGGCGACTCTATACATGGAAATCACCAGATGGGCAATATCGAAATCAGATTGATTATATTCTCTGCAGCCAAAGATGGAGAAGCTCTATACAGTCAGCAAAAACAAGACCTGGAGCTGACTGCGGTTCTGATCATCAGCTTCTCATAGCAAAATTCAAGCTTAGACTGAAGAGATTAGGAAAAACCACTGGGCCACTCAGGTATAATCTAAACCAAATCCCTTATGAATACACAGTGGAAGTAAAGAACAGATTTAAGGAACTAGATTTGGTGGACAGAGTGCCTGAAGAACTTTGGATAGAGGCTCGTAACATTGTCCAGGAGGCAGCAACGAAAACCATCCCAAAGAAAAGGAAATGCAAGAAAGTAAAGTGGCTGTCCAACGAGGCCTTAGAAATAGCAGAGAGGAGAAGGGAAGCAAAATGCAAGGGAGATAGGGAAAGTTACAGAAACTTGAATTCAGACTTCCAAAGAATAGCAAGGAGAGACAAGAGGGCCTTCTTAAATGAACAATGCAAAGAAATAGAGGAAGATAACAGAAAAGGAAAGACCAGAGATCTGTTCAGGAAAATTGGACATATTAGAGGAACATTTTGCGCAAAGATGAACATGATAAAAGACAAAAATGGGAGGGACCTAACAGAAGCAGAAGACGTCAAGACGAGGTGGCAAGAATACACAGAGGAATTATATCGGAAAGATTTGGATATCCCGGACAATGCAGACAATGTAGTTGCTGACCTTGAGCCAGACATCCTGGAGAGTGAAGTCAAGTGGGCCTTAGAAAGCCTGGCTAACAACAAGGCCAGTGGAGGTGATGGCATTCCAGTTGAACTATTTAAAATCTTGAAAGATGATGCTGTTAAGGTGCTACATTCAATATGCCAGCAAGTTTGGAAAACTCAACAGTGGCCAGAGGATTGGAAAAGATCAGTCTACATCCCAATCCCAAAGAAAGGCAGTGCCAAAGAATGCTCCATCTACCGTACAATTGCACTCATTTCGCACGCTAGCAAGGTTATGCTCAAAATCCTGCAAGGTAGGCTTCAGCAGTATGTGGACCGAGAACTCCCAGAAGTACAAGCTGGATTCCGAAGAGGCAGAGGAACTCGAGACCAAATTGCTAACTTGCGCTGGATTATGGAGAAAGCCAGAGAGTTCCAGAAAAATATCTACTTCTGCTTCATTGACTATGCGAAAGCCTTTGACTGTGTGGACCACAGCAAACTATGGCTAGTTCTTAAAGAAATGGGAGTGCCTGACCACTTTATCTGTCTCCTGAGAAACCTATATGTGGGACAGGATGCAACAGTTAGAACTGGATATGGAACAACTGATTGGTTCAAAATTGGGAAAGGAGTACGGCAAGGCTGTATATTGTCCCCCAGCTTATTTAACTTATATGCAGAATACATCATGCGGAAGGCTGGACTGGAAGAAACCCAAGCCGGAATTAAGATTGCCGGAAGAAATATCGACAACCTCCGATATGCAGATGATACCACTCTGATGGCAGAAAGTGAGGAGGAATTAAAGAACCTTGTAATGAGAGTGAAAGAGGAGAGTGCAAAAAACGGTCTGAAACTCAACATCAAAAAAACTAAGATCATGGCCACTGGTCCCATCACCTCCTGGGAAATAGAAGGGGAAGATATGGAGGCAGTGTCAAATTTTATCTTCCTGGGCTCCATGATCACTGCAGATGGAGACAGCAGCCCTGAAATTAAAAGGCGCCTTCTTCTTGGGAGGAAAGCGATGACAAATATTGACAGCATCTTAAAAAGCAGAGACATCACCTTGCCAACCAAAGTCCGAATAGTCAAAGCTATGGTTTTTCCTGTCGTGATGTATGGAAGTGAGAGCTGGACCATAAAGAAAGCAGACCGCCGAAGAATTGATGCCTTTGAATTGTGGTGCTGGAGGAGACTCTTGAGAATACCCTGGACTGCAAGGAGAACAAACCTATCAATTCTAAAGGAAAGAAGAGTCGGACACCACTAAATGACTAAACGAAACGAAAACGCCAGTTTGCACTGCATTGAATTTCTAGATATGACGTTCAAAGGGCCTGTCACTGTTATAGTTGATAGCAATGCTCTTGCATATGATTGCATAACTAAACAAACAATACTCTTAGAATGTGGCACCAGAAATTTTGTTTCAAATTGTAGACAACAAGATTATTCAGAATTGTAATTTGGAAGTCTGTGAAACACACTGCTCTTGCAACATATTGACAAAAGCAACACTGCCTTAGTTCTTTCTTGCCTTTTGTGTGCCAAGGGAAAGAGCCTGACAAATATGTGAAGAGTTTGTATGCATTTAAGGATTCTCAAAATGATTTTCAGAATAAGAACCTGTGGAACTTGGACTAAATACAGTGGTGCCTTGCATTACGACGACCCCGCATGATGACGAAATCGCTTGATGACAACTTTTTTGCGATCGCTAGTGATCAGAAAACGATGGTTCCTATGGGTTTTTTTCACTTTATGTCAATTAGGTCCCTGCTTCCTGTACCGTTTGTTCGCAAAACGATGATTTTTCCGGCTCCGCAAAACAGCTACCCTTCGCAAAATGGCTGTTTTCCGGACAGAAGGTTCGCAAAACAGCAATTTTAAACAGCAGATCAGCAGTTCTCTATGGGCGATCTTCGCTGGACAATGAGGTATTTCCCCATTGGAACGCATTAACCAGTTATCAGTGCATTCCAATGGGGGTTTTTTTTTGCATGACAATGATTTCGCTGTACAGGAATTTTGACAGAACGGATTATCATCGTCATGTGGGGCACCACTGTATATGTGTTACTCCAAGCTAGAATTAATGGGATTTTCGTAAGTTAATATTTAGGTACATAGTATTTATTCAGGTGATTTACTCTTGCTGGTATTAAGAAACTGAATTAGCCTACTGATTCTGACTAGAGAATTATGGGGTATATATTTTTCTTTATAGGATGCACCAGCATATAGACATGGGGATGAATTAAAAAATGAATAACAATATTCATTAAGTAGACATGGGGATGAATTTAAAAAATGAATAACAATTATCATTAAAAATTATTGATTCATTTAATATTTGTCCCTTTGTATTGGTAAATTCCAGAGACCCTGACAAAAGGCTTGTGGCCTTTCCACTCTGAGTACAGGTCAGCCAAACAGCTGATTGGCGGGCCCGTAGGTAACGAGCCAGTCCCACAGGAAGGGGATAAGCAAAGGGATATGCAAATCTAACATGCCTCCCCAAATATATGTAACATTAACTGTTGATGTGTCCAATTCCATTAAAAGTTTGTCAACTCAATTTTTAAAGAAATCAGCTGTTTACTGAATAAGCAACATGTCAGCAAAACATTTTATATACCTATTATGTGATTTTGTAAATCCAAATTTCTGTAATTCATTTTGATTATTTCCCTCTGCCTTGCTATTTTGCCAGAAAAGGTTGTACACCCAGCCTCGATTTACTTTGCCCTTTTCTCCCTCCCTTTTCTCCTTCTAGGACACTTTGTGAACAGTCCAAAGAACGATGTGAGGCTGTACTTGGAATTGTAGGCTTACAATGGCCAGAAGACACAGATTGCTCTCATTTTCCAGAAGAGAATTCAAACAATCAAACCTGTCTAACGCCTGATGATGATGTAGAAGGTTGCTCAATTTTCAAAACCTTTACATGGGATTTTTAAAATTCATTGCCTGAAATCCTGTTCTGTAAGTGACAACACGTGACACTGGTGATGTCATCAGCTTCAGCAATTTTTCAGAAATAAAACATTTCTGAATTCTCCCCCAAAGTTTCGGAGGCTGCCTTGGAATTATGATTGGCTATTTGATGAGAGAGCCTTTTATTGGGGGGAAAAATCACCACCATTGCTAAAGTCATCCTGGTGGCACTTGCTGCCATCCCATGGCCCCCAGTGGCTTCCCAATTATGAAAGAGATTCCACAGAAGCTTCAGGACCTTTGTGGGGAAGGAGGTTGAATTTAGAAATGTTTTATTTCTGAAAAATCATCATGGCTGATTACATTATTAGGGATGGGATTTTTTGCTTTCTTAGACTACAATACCATAATTGTCAGTTTTGGCACTTCTGTCTGACAGACAGACACCTAAATGTGGCTCACTGGAAAGCTTTGGGGTTTAGCTAGTCCTCGCTCCATCCAATCCTCCTGTTTCTGCCCTATTGCTAGCTAGCAGCTTTCTTTCTTCACAGGACATTAGGCAGAGCTAGGCTAGTTAGGCCTGAAAGCCTTGCAATAAGAGGCCTTTATTCTAGGAGAGCCACAGTTAGGTGGTGTAAGTAGTTATCTTTCTGTCAGGTAGAGCTGTAAGAATGGAGAATTATGATATGTAGTTCAGAAATTAAAAAACAAATCTCATGCCTAGACATCATTGCCCTTTGGTGTAATAACTTACAACAACAGGGGTTCAATCATTCAATTTTATGTAAACTGTTTAAATGCTGCCTACCTGGCAGTGCCCTCAGAACACTGTTACTGTATAAATAAGTATAGTGGTGCCTTGACTTACAAACGTCTCGCCCTACAAACATTTTGAGTTACGAACAGCTCCGTTCACATAATTTTGCCTTGACTTGTGAACGGAGCTTTGACTTACGAACAGAAAAGAGGCAGGGGGAAAGGGCGGGAAATTCAAATAGCTAACTGCAAGTGGCGACGAGGCTGCTTCTTTGTAGCTCTTTCGCCCCGGCAGTTAAAGAGTGTGCGATCCGCTAAGTTAAGGTGCTGCTTTACACAGTACTTTTAAAAAACTGTTTTGGGTATTTTTGCAGCATGATTTTTGGCTGTGGGGGTTATGTTTCCATGCTGTGATGGGTCTTGGGGTTTTTTGTTTCCCCCCCATTTCCGATGTGGGGGTTGGTTCCTTTTTGAAGTGTTTTCCCCATTTCTGACGGATCTTGGGGAATTTGTTTATTTTTTTGTCCCCCCCCCCATTTCCAATGGGTCTTGGGGGGGATTGGTTGCTTTCTTGGGTTTTCCGCCCATTTTTGATGTGCCTTGCATGCTTTTTGCTTTGTTCTCTTTGCATCTCTGATCTGCTCCGTTTGTTTTTGCAATGGTTCCTGCATGCTTCCCTTGCTTTTTCGCTTTGTTCTCTTTGCATTTCTGATCTGCTCTGTTTGTTTTCTGTGCTTTTGCGATGATTCCTGCATGCTTCCCTTGCAAATCAGAAAAGTTTTTGCAAGGGTCTGTGCTGGCTTGGTTTAAAATGTGTTGGTTTAGCATGTGTTTTAGACTCTAAACTCTCTCCCTCCACCTCCATTGCCTTCTCTCTGTGTGTCTCTCTCCTTTCCTGCCCTTTTTTAAACCTAAAGCATCTTAAGTTAAAAAAATATTCTCCCCCTAATGGTAGAAGACGGATTAACTGGTTTTGCATTCGTTCCTATGGGAACGAATGCTTTGATTTACATAATCTTATGCCTTGACATAAGAACAAAAAACATCCAGAACGGATTAATAGGGTTTCAATGCATTCCTATGGGAAATGCTGCTTTGACTTACAAATGTTTTGACTTACGAACACCATTCCATTACGGATTACGTTCGTAAGTCAAGGCAGCACTGTACCTGAATTTATTAGGGTAGTATTTCATTCAAATACAGTCAGCTCAACAATCTATAGGTACCATTAACAGACATGGGCTCCCAAATTCTTTCTGCAGGTGCCCTTGGTTGAAGGTGATAGGAAAAGATTAAGACTTACTATGCAATAAGTGTACTAAAATATAGCCAAATTCCTTTAATAATCACCAGACTTTCTTGAGATAGAAAACTGCTATGTAATTTATTTATTTCATTTAACATTATCAAAGAAAGTCAAAGCAATAGCTGAATTCAATAATAATAGAGCCTTCCTCCTTCAAATACTTTAAAAGCTTATATAAAATGAAAGATAGATGTGAGGAAAGCATTTTTAAAAGCATTATTTTTTTTTAAAGGCATTCTGTTCTGTTACAGTTCAGTTTAGCTGGCTGGAAAGAAGTGGATTGACATGATGTGACCCATCACTCTCTTTTACGTCTCATTTTTCACCCTATGTAACGAAAGCATTTTAACTGATTTTGTTATTTTATTCGCAGAGTGCTCACCCAGCCACTACAAATGTCGTTCAGGGAGGTGTGTCTTGGCCTCCAGGAGATGTGATGGACAGGCAGACTGTGAAGATGACAGTGATGAAGAGAACTGTGGTAACTGAATGGACATTTTGACTACAAAGTAGTTGGGGATCAAAGACCATCAATGTTTATCAAACATTGATGGTCTTTGATAATCTTTGATGGTCTTTGATGTGTCTTTGTTATAATAATGCTTGTTTGTATAGGTATAGCAAAAGCAGGAAGTATGAATTACATGAAGAATTTTTAAAAAATATCCAGATGGGATTTCTTCCGGGAAGGCAAATGTTTGTTATCTCACATGCATGCATCTCATATTTCCTGCAATGAACTCAAAAAAAGATATGAAAATTTCCCATTTTATCCCCACAGCTGGGAAAGAATAAAGGGAAAGGGTAAGTAGTGACTGAGTTGTCATCTCAGTGGAGATCTTTCATTTCCAATCCCAGTACAAACTAACTTTTGGTGAAAAGCTTTAGTCTGTGCAGAAGCTGTCTAACCTGGAGTGGAGGACCTCTGATTCCTGAATATGAACTTTCAGGTGCTCTCCAGGCTATGCTTCTGTCCCCAGACCATGCTCAATTTTTCAAAGCTATAAACAATCAGTGGCACTATTCTGGGTTACTGATGATTGCTCCATTTGTCCACTAGCAACGAAGCTGATGCAAAAGAGAATAGCCATCTGTCTGTTGTGTACTGAGCAAAGATAACTGAGTCATATCTATAATTCTGCCTTATTTAGGTCAGGCTAATGACCACACCTACCTTAGGAGGGTGGATTTCCAACAAGTTTTGACAGATATTGAAAATCTCAACATGAAAAAAGGTTCTTCACCCTTATTATAAACTGTATCGGGTGCGGGGGGAAGGAAGAACACAAACATGTTAGGTTAAGTGAATGTGCCATTTAAACCCGTATTCACAAGTAATGGTTTAGTTTTTATTATTTTACTATTTATTATTTATTAAAAAAGAAAATGAACATCACCTTGCCCTTCCTAGCTCACTCTTCAGTGTACTTTTCTTAGGGCATTTCAATACCTTTGCGGGATACTTCAGCTTTACTGTGTTTGCCAGGGAAAGAGAATCTACAGCTCTATGGTGGTCACTAGGATCAGTTCTCTGTGTGCCAATTCTTTGCTACATAATAGAATGTTGCATATCTCCTTTTCTCTGAACAAAGTTTCTGTTTTATTTTTGTTTTGAACAAATACTAAATTTGTTTGGTACATGAAGAAAATGAATACATTTTCTGTCTCTCTCTGCAAAACTATTTTGCTACAGTCATGGGAATACAAATAAAAACTGTACCTCGACTATTTTGTCCTATTAGGTTATAAGGTACGAAATAATGCTCCACATACAAACTGAATATCTTTAGTAGTGAATTGTCTTTCCTCTCTCTGTGTCTCTTAGACAAATGCTTCTAGTGGTCAACATAGTTCTTATCAGTGTCTATAAATATGGGAGGCTATACTGTATCTACTAGAAAATTACAGCTGTCAGAGTGATATTTTTTTGACCAGAACCAGTATTGTTACAGCCAGTGCTTTTAGATCTCTGGAAAGCTGCATTGCCTTAATTCACACTTTTTATAATGTAGGGCAAAAATCAAATGTCCTTGAGCATCATTTCTGTAGATGGCACTCTGCAGATGGGTACAATGTAGAGAAAGGTCAGTATGTTAAAACCCTCTGAGAGTAAGCGCACTTGAGCACTTTATGAAATGGAATAGCCACTGTATTTTCTTGTCCTGCACTGTGTCAAGTAACTGTATGTTAGGAATACTGCCCTCTCCCCACCAAGGTCACATAGATCTCTCACCTGCTGTGATCTTGTGGTGGATTCATTTCATACAACATACTTCATGAAAATTGAGCAAAATATATTTCCCAAATGTTTATGCTGGCACTAGATTTTACAGGCAAGATATAAAAAGGACAGAAATGCTACAGCTTTATATGTCAGCATCAAATTTTAGTGAATAGATTTATGACTTTTTTTTAATACAGAGCAATGAATGTCAAGCTTCCTCTTTGGTAATGTGGACCTATACTGTTAACTGTTCAAAATAATTTTTCAGATATTGTGACTCATATGTAATGATTTCACAGACATTTAATAATTTAGATGCTCCCAAAGTATATTCTTACACAGTGTTGATCTATGCACTGGTGTGAATAAATAATAAAGGGTTACAATTACGGACAGAAAGCAAGCTGTTATTTACCCTAAATATATATGATGTATATTATTATATTTGAGTATATGAAACTCAGCCTTTTGTGTATATACACAAACACAGGTTATACTACTATATCCTTCCATATTGCATGTTTAATTATTAGATATGTTTGGATAATGGTTTTAACATCCTTTAATTTTTTGTCTCTTCAGCCTAACACTGATACCCTGGGAAGGGAGAGAGTCCATAGCATATTTTAAATGTAATAAAATTGCTTATTTTATGTAATAATCAGCTATCTTGTTAACCAAAGCAGATAGGTTCTACATCTTAGTGCTGCAATGAGTTGCTTTAAAAAAGCAACCCGTATACAATCTGCGGAAAGAGAAATACTTTACAAAACTGTGCTATTCCTTAATTTTTTCCACATGCCAACCTAAAAATTTAATATCAGAAAACTGCCACAGTTACACAACAGTTCATCTTGAATTTATTATAGAAAACCAGCCTAGCTGATTAAAGACACTTGGAGGACACAGAGGCTGTGTTTACTGAATAACGATGAGCCTCTGTAAAGGTGCATATTACTGTCAACAAGTGATATTCCTTCAATTGAGGTACAGACATTGTTCTATGTTTATCTGTAACTTCAGGTTTCTGCATCATCTCTCCCATTCTTTCTTTTTCTCTTCTAAAAAATTGTGTTGAGATATTCTGGATATCTGATTAAAAAGACTGAAAACACAAACACAAAAAGACACACACCCCCTATTCATTTCATTGGAAAAAATGAGCACATATACAGCTCTCTCCCCCACTATGATGGATGAGATTCATTTAAATAAGTAATATCCATAGAAATTCCAGTATCCTTGGAATTTCTACTGATGTCTATGATGACCACCAAGACAAAAAGGATCCTTTTGGTGCATAGGTTTTTAAATTTTAAAGAACTCATTGGATAGTTTTCTATTTCTTCTTAAATGTTAAATCAAATATTATATGTTGCATTAATATATGCAGTTAAGTCACAATTTACTACAGGAATTGTTGCACGAAATAGTGCTAGTTTTTCTCCTATGGTAATTTATTCTGATAATACTCTCAGTATTTTCAGTAGGATTTTTTTGCAATACTTAAAATGCTATGGTAATTTCCTCTGCAACCTGCAAAGACCAACCTGTTCAGAAATATGTGAGATAACCAGATTAGGCCCATTGAGTCAACAGGGGTTTACAGAGGAGTTGACTCACTAAGTCCTCATTGATTCAATAGGTCTATTGTAGAGAAATTCACTAAACCAATTAACAGCATTTTGGCCACCATCCAAGTGGCAGAAGTATGAAGAGGAAAATCTATTGCAATTTCTTCTTTGTGATTTCCATGAAATTACACATGTGACGTTTGTAATGTGCCTGCACCAATGTCCTTAGAATCTTCAAGAGCCTAAAGAAATATTAGGACATGCCATCTCACCACATATAATCTTTACCCCGGGGGCAGTCCTTAGTTCCCTTCTTATAGCCACTGAGAGAACACCTTAGGAGTTTTTTATCACAGCCTACCATTGCTTGATCTCACTTCAAACCATCTGTATATAGTATTTTTTTCCTTTTTTTAATATCATGTTCTTCCCCAAATCCACCCCCCCTTGTCATTCTAGAAAAGAAAAAAAGAAAGGTTGTTCCTTAGTTTAATCCCTTTGTGGTGAATGGCTGTTCCTGCCTTTAATGGCCCCAATTCAAAGAACTGTGATCTGCAATAATAAAATCCCCTCATTGTCTGACAATGACAATTGTCAGTTGGAACCAACTAGAAATTTGTAAATTCTGTAAAAAAAGTTAGAAAGGTAGCCATCAGGAACTGCCAACCCCATTTGAAATTTTACCTGTGGGAAAAGTCTCTTCAGACTATTGATACCATTGCCAAGTAGTTTCCTGCAGTTTCAGTCTGTAAAGCATCATGAAAGAAACGTTTTAAGGAGGTCCTCTAGATGAAAACTCCATCAACTAGAGGTATGGAGAAGCAGGCTATTCAAATAGATCCTAGCAAACCATAAATCCTAACCTCAAAACTGAGGGAAGACTTTCCACCTCCAAGCTGTCAAAACTGACACCACTAATGCAGAAAAAGAAAAAGAAAGTCAGCAATTCCAATGTTCACTCAAAAAAGAACAAGGGCAAAAAAAAAAAAATTAAGGAACAGACCCCTCTGTCCAAATGACCATCACCATCCCTGTCACATCACCATCTCTTGCCCCACATTGAGATGGTTCAGCATCTGAGGAAAATATGTCCTGGCATCAGGCATCATTACTGGCTTTTAGCCAGTCACCCAAGTAAGCCAACTCATCCAGCAAGCCCTGAGTAAGCTTTCAGTAGCAATAGGGCTACTCCAATGAAGGAATCACTTACTTTTTGAGAGCTGTTCCACTCATCTTCCTAAGCATCAAGCTTGACCTTCAAAGACAACGGTCTACAGCTGACAAAAGACTGGTCAAGCACCACCACTTACTGCTGGAGGAGTCCAGATACTCTCCCCAGATTTATCTGGGTGCCGTATCCTACTTCTTTCCTGGATCAAAGTGTATCCCCCTGCCAAAATATTTTGGCAGGGGGATACAAAGTTTCATCCATCTTACTATCACTGCCATATGATAAGACCGCCAGATGATAAGACCGCCAGACCCTATTGTGGCCCACCTATGTATTTAGTAATTCTGGCTCAATGTACTCATCAGTCTTGAGAGCTTTTGCATTCAAAGTTATCAGAACAGAAACTTAGGTTGCATACAGTGGGACTTTGCTGTTTTGAACGTAGGGGGAACTTATTTCTGAGTTAATACGTCTAGGACTATGCTAATACAATGGTCTACCTAGTTTTATCCTTAGATGTGAGTATGGTTAATAATATTTTTCAAGTGAATGGATAAAAATATTTGAATTTGACTATGTACTTTGAAATGTAAGTATATTCCTACTAAACTTGTCTTAGGATAGAAAGAGGAACCTAACTTATAATAAACATATATAAACAAGAAAACTACAGTCCTCTTGAGACATTCACCCAAAGTGTGAAAAGATAAATGGGTGATGGAAACAATGCTGCATAACACTGCCACACACGTAATGTCAGAATGTGTTGAGTGTGAAGATCTGAGGGTTCATAACTACTTTCTGCCAACTACTGTATTTGCCGGTGTATAAAGCGACTGGTAGTATAAGACGGCCCCCCAACATTCCTACTCAGAATGTAGAGTTTGTTATATACTTGCTGTATAAGACTACCCCCTCTTCCGCATGCGTGATTCTGCTTTGGCTGCATCATGGGGAGAGTTCCTTTAGCCCCTTTTGGATCCTTTTCGGGTAACTACTTTCTGCCAACTACTGTATTTGCCGGTGTATAAAGCGACTGGTAGTATAAGACGGCCCCCCAACATTCCTACTCAGAATGTAGAGTTTGTTATATACTTGCTGTATAAGACTACCCCCTCTTCCGCATGCGTGATTCTGCTTTGGCTGCATCATGGGGAGAGTTCCTTTAGCCCCTTTTGGCTCCTTTTCGGAGGCGGCAGCCATTTTCGAGAGGCGGCAGCCATTCTGGAGAGGCGGCAGCCATGTGGTCGCATCTCAAAATGGCTGCTGTTCCAACAGTCAGCTGTTTGGCGCTAGAGTCAGGCTCTTCCCAGACTAGGAGCAGGGCTCTACTGGGTCTTACTACCAGGTAAGTGACTCCGCTGGGAGAGAGGGAGGGTTTGCTAGACATGCACCCGGCGTACAAGACGACCCCCCCACTTGGAGGCATGTTTTTCAGGGCCAAAAAGCCGTCTTGTACGCCGGCAAATACGGTATGTTAGTGAGCTTGTGAATGGGAATTGCCTTTATGAGGGTTCTAGACTGGGAACTCTAATAAAACAAGGGTCATGATCACACTCCAATGTGATCAGAGATCCCTCATCTGATCTTTCTGCTCAATATGCAAATCTATGTGATGCTGCTGCATAATTAGGAATACTCAGTGGACGAGGCTTGTATGTGTGCCCCAACATCCATTTAGTCCAGTGGTGGGATTCAAATAAATTAACAACAGGTTCTATGTCCTAATGACCATTTTAACTATACCAAAAGATACACCGAAAGGTAGTTTAATAATTCACACATTAAATACTGCAATAAGAACAGTAAAAGAGGTACAGACAACTAGATTATTTTTAAAGGAAGATTTTTATTATTAAATACCTGACAAACAGTTATTGAAGATATTTCCATATTGCTGTTTGATTGGCATCCTCACTTGCAATTTTCTTTGCTTTTATCGAATATTTTCTATCCATGAACAGCGGACCAGAATGAAGAGGCCAAACAATGGAGTGGCCTAACCAACTCTAACTCTTTTTTAGCTGTGGTCCTTGAGGATGCTGAAGAAAGTGACACATGACTGAAGCAATGCCAGTCTTTTATCTTTCATGTGGTTCTTAACTCTGACATTTCCTGTGCTTGGTGAAGAAGATATCTCTATCAACATTGAATTTTCTGGCACAACACACCCTACTAGTGCATTTAGATTAATGTAGGTGGTTAGCTAAATAGGGCTGTAAATCAAAACTTGGGATTTTAAAAATCCATACAAAAATATTCGGCAATTTTGTTCAAAGAGATACTGTAAAGGTAATCTCCAGCCCTTTATCTTGTCAAAACTGGTTGGGCAACACTTCCTAGAGACATCTGGAACACATCAGTCTGTGGGTTATAAACATCCCAATCATATCTCTTAGTTTACGCTGTAATGTCATTTTTGACAGCAGTCTACCGTCTCTCATCTACATAAAAAGGCCAATCAGTGACTTGCAATATGTTCCCCTTCAAAACATGTGCATACACCACTGAAAAGATGCACCCAATCACCTTGCACATAGGCGCTGCACCAGGTGACTCAACTACTGTGTTGCAGCCAAAGTCATCCCTTACCTTTTCTTTGGGTCTCAGGTACCTCAGGAGAGCCTGAAGTGTTAAGTCTCTAACCCTTACATGGAACCACGATCCCCATCTTGACAAAACAAACTGTCACTTTCATCTCATTCAAATGAAAACAAATCCGTATTTGGACTTTTTTTTTAAAATGAGAATTTCAAAAGGCAAAACAAAAACAAAGAAAGAAACAAAGAAACAAAAAACCCTGAACACCCTTTTCAAGAAATGAAATTCTTGGAGGCCAAACTCTTAAAATAAAATTCAAATTTTGGGGCTGGTGGGGCAAGGGATGAAGGCCTAGCAGCAGGGTCGGGGGCAAAGACGCAGGGGAGAGTGGAAAAGAATGGGAGAAAGCTACTTAAGACGAGAGAAGCAGAACAGGCCTGAGGGAGGCAGGCAGGCAGGCATTAAACCAAACAGCCCTCATATGGGAGCCCAGCAAAAAAATAACAAAGGTCACATAGACCCATTCCCTGGGCTGAGTCTACGCTGAGAGTGACACCGACTCTACTGTGGACAAGACAGGACCCTAAACCGAACTAGATACCCCACAAGGGTGATGGGAACAGTTATTCTCGGGGGGAAGGTCAAACGGACCTCTTTCACGCGAACCCACACTCACACAACTCAGCGGAAACCCAGAACCAGATCTGTGAGAGTTTGGCAGAAGGAAGGGGGGTGGGGGAAGCGGGCAACACTCTCTCCTCCCCGCAGCCACCCGCAACTTGGTGAAGAGGATGACAGGATTTTGTCAGGGCCGTCACCCGCACCACCCCAACCTCCACCGCAGGCAGTGTTCCCCTGAGGAGGAGGCGGCAGCAAAACCTGGAAGGAAGAGGAGGAAGCGTCTGCTCCCCAGGGAGCAACGCAGGCCGAGCCTGGAGATATAGCAGGCGGTGGCTCTTCAGAAGCCTTGGCTGCCGCTCCTTGTGTCTGGGCTGAGGGCTGCAGTGGTGCTGGCCTCTTCTCTTGCCACCCCACCTAGCCTACCCCAGTATCCCCCCTCCCTCCTTTTCTTTGGGGCAGCTGGTGCCACTGAATACGCACCCTCCTCCTGCTGCTGCTGCTGGTGCCGCTGCCGCTCCCGCCCCTTCTCCAGCACGCATGTGCGTGTGAACACACACGCACATGTTGCCTGGGTTTTCCCTCCCTGCTCTCACAGCTCAGCACTCTGGAATCTCAGGGAGGGACCAAAGGAACCCCTCCCAAGGTCTACATTCAGTGGTGGAATTCAGGCCAGCAAATGGTTCTGCAGAACTGATAGTATGTTAGGTACCGGTTCGGTAGATCCAGTGTGAACCGGCTGAATCCCATCACTGATTTAGTCTTCTACCAATTCAGACAACCCTTTGAATATGGCTTAAGCATAATCCAGTGGAGGCTTATAGTTCTGATGTCACTGAAGCAATAAATCCACTCTGAGCTTTAGCCTGAACTTTCCAGATACTTTCCAAGGTGCAGAATCCTATTCCCCCCAAAAAAAGGATCCTCTTTTAAAGCATAGAGCTGTGGTTCCCAACCTTTTCTGAGTCACAACCCCCTTTTATAATAGCCAAGTAACCTGCGACTCCCTCCATGTTTGCATAAAAAGGCATTTTTGGTGGACTAAAGCTCCACTCTGAGCTTTAGCCTGAACTTTCCAGATACTTTCCAAGGTGCAGAATCCTATTCCCCCCAAAAAAAGGATCCTCTTTTAAAGCATAGAGCTGTGGTTCCCAACCTTTTCTGAGTCACAACCCCCTTTTATAATAGCCAAGTAACCTGCGACTCCCTCCATGTTTGCATAAAAAGGCATTTTTGGTGGACTAAAGCTATCCCTTGTCTGCGACTCCCTCCATGTTTGCATAAAAAGACATTTTTGGTGGACTAAAGCCATCCCTTGTCAGAAAATGGAGACGTCTTTCTCTCCCAAAGGGCCTGTTTCTCATACATAAAAATACACAATAACTTTAATGTTCCACTGTTACCATTCAATTTTTGGTTTTATTTCTCTGGCAGGGAATAACAGATAAAAAATAGTGCACCAATCAGTCTATGTATAAGCCAATTTTATTCAAACATACATATGACTGGGCATCATTCCTAAAAATGGAACGAGCCCCCTCATTAATGGGTAAAAGTAATTTATACAAAGGACAATAAAGCACAGCATCCCCCTATTGGCCTCCTGAACCCTATGTGTGCCTGTTTGGGTCACCCCATTGGCCGTGGTAGATATGAGGAAAAATATTCAAAATGCATCCCAGGGTTAGTGGCTGCCAAGTTTGTGAATGTATGAACCATTGTGTATTTTGAAACATGTTGCGCTGTGAATGTTATTCTGAGTTGGCCTTGGGAATGTTTTGTGCGCACCAAGCGGGAAGAGACAGTTACTTTGAGATGAAATGAGGATACGAAAATGCGTTGAATATACAAAATGTGTATAAGGTACAGATCAAAAATGCATATAGAATATCATTATAGTAAGGAAATAGTGAAATCATATTTCAATTACAGGTACAAGGTATGATTACTTGTGTAAGTACATGTGAATCAAATAGCATGTGTTATCTTAAATTGTAAATCCAGTACTTCGTATATGTTATATCAGAACCCCCTATCTATCACCACTCTGAAAAGTCAAGGGAGAAATTATTTAACAGCAGTTATAACACATATAAGGCAACCTGTGACCTTGTGAAAACACTTTGTGAAAACATCTTGTGAAAACACTTTGTGATTCCTTTGGGGGTCATGACCCCAGGTTGGGAAGCACTGGCTTAGAGTAAAAGCCAGGGTGGATTCATATCTGTAAGAAAGAAATAGCAGCATCCGACAGATTAAAACTTACTTGTTGCAGCACATTTTAGGATGTACTGGTTGATCTGTTGTTGGAATTAAATACCAGTAATATCCTTTGTTTTCTGCCCATAGGATGCAAAGAAAGAGGCCTTTGGGAATGTCCGTCCAGCACACTGTGTATCAAACATACAATGCTATGTGATGGGTTTTCAGACTGCCCTGACGATTCAGACGAATCCAATTGCTGTAAGTGTTTTACACCTGAATTAAATTTTTGTTTGCTTTCTTGATGTGATGTACGCCAGGGGTCCCCAACCTTTTTCAATCTGCGGACTGGCTGGGGAAGGTGAGGCATCCCCTGCGCTCGTGTGCATGTGTGAACAACAGCGTGGTGCTCACACGGGCAAGCGTGCATGTGCAAATCAGCTGTGTGGGGGTGAGTGTGTGGGGGGGAGGTCTCTGCGGCCCGGTCTGGCTTAGGCCATGGACCGCAGCACTGGGCTGCAGACCGGGGGTTGGGGACCTCTGATGTAGACTATTGTTGCTTGTTGTTGCACTCTGCTTCTTAAGCCTCTGAATTTGACCTACTGGATAGCAAACAGGAAGGGCTATTGCTTTCAAGTCCTTAGCATGGAGTTCCTTGAGGTTGGTCTCTGATGAAATAGATGCAAGTCTATAACAAGCTGCATTAGATTATATGGATTTCTGATTTGCAAATTGCAAGAGATACAGCCCAACTGATTAGTCTACTAAGACCATTTTGGTACACAAAACTAAGGACATGAACACATGTTATTAAAAGAGTTAAACATGTTATTAAAATGTAAGTGTGCAAGTGTTTAGCAGTAGGAGGCAGCTGTTTGTAAATCGAGTATATATTCCAGTTAATTTGTTTTTTAATCCAATTTCTGATCCAATAAATGGACCAGTTGTTAAACACAAGCTTAAGACAATAGTCTGATAATGTTGGGCTATTTTGCTTCAAGAACAGTTTGCTAAAATGAGATGGAAGAGTCCTGTTCCATTCTTTGGATGTTTATTTTGCAGTCATCCGCAATGCTGTTTCAAAGCTACTCTTTAAACTGTGTTTTTCTTTTGAATTTTAATTTTATTTTGGTTTTGCTTTCTGCCTCCAGTCTCTTTGTTTTTATATATCACTTCAAATAGCTGTGGTTCTTGCATTTGTAATGGCGTTTTTGTGGATTATCTGATGAATTTCATGTTAGGATTTAAAGAAGTCCGGGTCAGTTTATCCTGCGTAGATGCTTCAGGGAAAATTCACATTTGGAAAGAAGGTTATGGACCAATTTATATCCTTTTCTTTCATAATAAATTGGTTTGCATTATTTATTTTTGAAAGATTGAGATTCCACAATGTTGGAAGCATTGCCATGAAGATGTAAATAAGATAATATATAATTATTTGTTCTCTTTCCATAACAAATCCAACAGAAGAATCATCCACCCTCAAGCATTAATTTTAACCATCACTGCAGTCAAAGAACTGTATTGCCTGAATAGTACTTGAACCATATAGCTCAAGAAATCCACTCCTAATGGGACAAAGCCATACAGAAGCTTCATAATGGGAAAATGTGCATCTCAAATATTGTGACATTTCATGTTTATTACTGAATTCCTTTCTATTTCTGCAGTCCAGGATTCACAAATGATTTCAACCACTTCCATGAATCATTGTCAGATAATTGTATGGTCGCAGTCTATTGTCAATGCTATTTACTTATAAATAACAAAACATGGATATGTTATTGTATCTCATGCTTTGAAAGCCCCCCAATCCAGTTCAGTTTACCAAATACAATTAATATATGATAGCTCGTTAAATTTGGGTTTTTTCCCTGCCTTTTATAGCTGGAAAATCAATATGGCTGTCAAATACTTGGAAGGCTGTGAAATACAACTGGTGGACTAAATTCAGTTTGCTTCATCAAACGTTTACACAGATATCACAGAACTATGTTAAAAAGCTCCATGGTTTCAATGAGGCTATACGTCTACTAGATTCCGTATGGACCCAATTCACCAATATAGAAAACAGTGCAAATTGGCTACGATTAATATGGAAGCCAGGCAGTTTGACTTGGGTGTTAATCATGTTACTTTCAAGGGAACAGAATAGGTCTGACCAATGTAATTCCTCTTGCTGTAACAGCCTGTCTCCTGAACCTGCTAGGCTCCAAATCATGCCAAAAAGAATGCATGTCCTAGCCCTGGGTTTAAAAAGTGTGAGATGACTCTTGAAGGAGAAGGATGGATCATTTTAAGTAGAAACACAGAGATGTGATTTTTTTTTTGTTTTCCAAACCATGATACAGTGGGGTCTCTACTTAAGAACGTCCCTACTTAAGAACAATCCAACTTAAGAACAGCTCAATTTGCTAAATTTTGCTTCTACTTGAGAACAGAAATCCAAGATAAGAACAGGAAAAAAAACCTTTCCTGCTCTTTTTTTAACCTTAGGTCATCTTAGGTTAAAAAAAATTCTCCCCCTAGTGGTAGAGTACGTATTAACCAGCTTTGCATTAGTTCCTATGGGAACTAATGCTTCAATGTACGAACGCACCTCTACATAACAAAAAAACAGCCAGAACGGATTAATTGGTTTTCAGTCCATTCCTATGGGAAATTTTGCTTCAACTTAAGAACGTTTCAACTTAAGAACACCATTCCAAAACGGATTAAGTTCTTAAGTAGAGGTTCCACTGTATCAGCAATCCATACATCATACCTAAATACCAGTGTGGACAGGCCCTAAATCAATTTGATTTGGTTTAGGAGTTAGCCAAATTTAAAACATGTTCCCAGCATTCAGAGGTTGTTCTTTCTTATTATTGGTTTATTGCATCACATATTCCCTTTGATCAGGTGAATAAGGAAGCAATTTTGGTAATTGTAAGAATTGATAATTACATGAGAATACTCCAAAGAATGAAGCTCAGCTGTTACAATCTGTTACAATCTGTTATCACTTTCTGATCAGTAATATAGTATCATGCCCATATATTCTCTTGGAGACCTGGGCATGATACTACATTACTAAAACCATGGTATCAGCAATCCATATAGTATATATATTCTTTTGACAAATGCATTGTATCTTCATTCTTAGAGACAGTTTCCTCTCAATTTATTTTTTCCCGTGGCAGCCCTTTGCAAAAAGGATGAGATTTCATGTGCCAACCATGACTGTGTACCTCGTAAATGGTGGTGTGATGGGCAGATTGACTGTGCTGACAAATCAGATGAATGGAACTGTGGTAAGTGTTAGTTAGCTAAGTTTCTAAAATGTGAGTTGGGGGGGAGGCGGGAAACCATGCTTGAGGTAATTGGTTGGTTCTGGAAATTCAAAAGGAAAAAAAGAAAGGAAAAGGTACATTATTCCTATAAACTAGATGTCTACTGATGAAAAGATAAAGCTGAAGAAGAGGAATTGGGGGATCATTACATTAGTCCACTGTGATTAATGAATTATTATTTAGACTGACACAAGAAGTGAACAGGAGAATATAGATGTGTTCCATGCTTAACATGCGAGTCTAGAAGAAGATTTTAAAAATATATTATTCTACTGAAACAAATTCTCAGAGAGGGCTGTTACAGTAAAAATATCAGCATCAGGAGCAACAAAAACCATAATCCATGAATACCAAAAGGATAAATTTTGTGCAAGCCATAGTAATATCAAAATGGATGGTGCCATGCTTCATATTTCCTTTCTCCATAACCAAGTAACGACATTTATTGCATACTGAACATTGTTGAAGCCAACATAATGGAGGGATGGGAAGCTTGTTGGACTTCAACTCCCATGATCCCTCACCATTGGAGCTGGCAAAGGCTGGTGAGAGTTGTGAGCTGATAATACTTGGCCTGCAGTCCTCAGCCCAGGCACAAGACCTTTGCTATATTGAGATGTAGTCCATTTGGTGTCATACTAAAAAGAAATAAAGTACCTGTACAGTATTACGTTGCAGTGGAAATTGTAAATGCCGCCTTTCACAATAAATGGCTGATGTTGAATGGAAGAATTATTTTCTCCTAGCATACATAAAGTATCACAATGTAAGCTCATGTCTCTTGGCATCTTTGGAGTCAAGGCGCAAAGTGGCCTGACAGGGTGAAAATCAACTCTGCTTCAAGCCTAGTTCTTTACATATTCCATCGGCATGAGGATATAGTTTATTGTAGAAACAGAAGGTGCAATTACTTAACAGAGCAATGTGTCCCTGTGATGCTTAAATATAATGGACACAAATCTGACATTTTATTAAACCAGAATGTTGTAATGGCTGGAATTATATAGAATATGTCATATTCCAGAATATTTCACTGATTTTAATCAACTACTAGGAATTAAGAGAGCACCATTATTAAGTGCTCTCAGTACTGTATTCATGTTAGGGTGTGGAGACATCTTCTGAATTCTTCTTCTTTGATTTTATAACGATATGCGAAGGGTCCCAGGTAGGGTAACTGAGCAGATCCTAGGGCATGCAGTATGTTTAATGGATGCCCCAGCAAGCACAGCCTAGACAGGAGCTCAAAATACTTTACTTAATGGACTCCTTTTAAGACATTATTCACCCAGGGCAGATATCTGGGAGATGGGCAGATCTACCTTTAATCTTTCTGTTCTCATGTACAGCCATCTAAATTAATCTCAAAGTGAAGAAATTCATCCTGGAATAGTTCAGCCATCTGTACAGATGGGTTCAGTGTACGATGTATCAAGGTAGATCTGTGATAGTAGCCATGCTAACGGGAGTATTCCAGGAGTTGTAGTTTTAAAAGTAACTTTTCCAAAATGTGCTGTATGCTTTTCAGCACTCAAACATTGGTTTGCAGATCTTCAACTGATGAGAACACATAGGCCCATTTCTTAGCTCACCCTCTGTCTCTTGTCATCATTTTAAAGTTGTTGTTTTTTTTGTCTTCACAGTATCCCTACCTAAAAACAGGAGCTCCTTGATGTTCCTGACTGTTCATAGGTCAGCTACTAATTACCATGTATGTGCTGATGGATGGGAAGAAACGTTAAGCCATTTGGCGTGCAAACAAATGGGTTTAGGGTAAGGTCAGTAGTTTGTTGCATTGACAATTTTTTTTGAATTGTGGCTATGACTGTGGGTGAAACTATTTGGCTTGGTGGCATTTTCTGCATCTATAAATGCCTAGTTTTCCGTTGCTAGTCCCAAGTAACGATTTGGGGCCCACAGAACTGGTTTCTGAGTGGTAAAACAACACAACAGATGTACTGAATCAATGACATGGCTTTGGTTCGAACTAGCAATAGAACCGGGACCAGTTATCTCCTCAACTGCCTCCTCTATCACTCTAGCCTATTATAACAGAAAACCTGTGATATTTAGTACTGTGTCTGGATCTTTTGTTCACCTAATAAACAGAGGTATTATTCAATAGAGTATTGATAGTGCAATCATGTGGTAAAAAGTAACCATTTTAATGTCTTTTAAAAAGGGGTGTATGAAATACCTTTTTCAAGCTGTACAGCAAGCCCTTCCTACCTCCCCCTCCCCCCGGTTCCTGGCACCCAATGTGATAATAAAATGTTCCTCATGTCCTCTCAGGATACGGGGGTGATTTTGGTGCATCATTGTCTCCTGGATTCTTTTAGGCTGATGGGAGTTAAAATATGCTACTCTTGCATATTCCTGAAATATATGTAGCATGATTATTGCTCTTGAGAATTTAGGAGCTGTCAGGGATCACACTTCAATGTGGATTAGTATCTTTCAGTTTGTTTGCTGCCCAAAATTGTGGCCTTGCCACTACTTGGGCTGGCTGGCTGGGACAGATGGACGGATGAACAGACAGACAGACTTGTGCAATGGAAGGACAGTGGCAGCCTGAAACGTCTTTACTCCACGTATCTTATCTAGCAGTGAATACAGTTTGAAGTTTAGATCCTCTGAAAAGCTGAAAAAGATACCAAGAAAGACATAGGCTATTTTCCTTCCACTTTGCAATCTAATAATGGGGAGAGTATTTGTGTTACTAATTTTCAACCATTAAAGTATTGTGTCAAAATGGCTAACACATTATAAGTAGTTCTACAGTGTGATGTTCTAATGGTTTCATAGGTCTCATTTTATTTTATTCTAGTGCATCTTCATGAAATTAAAAGTGAGACTGCAAACTCGAATCAGTAGATCAATAAATAAAGCTGCAGTTAATTGGGGGGGAACCTGTTTTAACTAATGGAGATGCAAGTTAAAGGCACACTTTTTGAAATAGTTGTGGTATGTTGGTGTAATAAACTAGAAAAGAAAACTTTCATCCTAACTATGAATAGTAACAATTGACTTCTGGCTTGACGTCGCGACGAGACAGCAGCAGGAGGACAGAGCTCTGTCCCCCAGGCTGAATTCTGACCTTGTTTGGGACACCATAGGGTGTCTGAACCACCCTGGAGGGGTGGTGAATGGGGGGGAAGCCTGTTGATCACGGGGGGATGGCGGCCACCCCAGTTCGATCCAGGAAACTCCCTAATCAGCCAACGGGCAGAAACAAACAGCTTAAGGGCTCGCTTGCAAGTCGTCGGCAGCCGGCTAAGAGAAGCAACGATCAGCATCTGGCATCGCTGTTTACCATC